GCAAAGAAGGGAACAACAGACACTGGGGTCTACTTGAGTGTGATGGATGGGAGGAGGGCAAGGATTGAAAAACTACCTCTAGGGTACTATGCTTATTTCCTGGGTGATGAACTAATCCGTACATCAAGCCCACACAACATGCAATTTACTTATAAAACAAACCTGCACATGTACTGTCTGAAATTAAAAGAAAAGAAAAAAATATATATGATTTCAAATGTTCTCAGCAGTGTTATTCCCACATTTCAATGTTCTTATCTCCTTTAGCAAAATTCCTTCTATTCTGGCTTTCTCCTCTGCGCATTACTAAAACTCCTTTGGAAAAGTTTATAAATGATTAACATTGTGCCATATTAAAATGAATTCTTTTCATTTTATTTGGTCTCCTGGCAGGCTATCCTTTCATTTTGGGAAAACTTGCTTCTAGACTCCTATGATATCACATTCCCCTGTTTTTCTCCTACCCCAATGGTTGCTCTCCTAATTTCTTTGATGCATTTTCTTCCAAAACCATCTCTAAACTCAGAGTTGTTCAGGGCTTGATTTTGATCCTTCTCCTTTTGACATATTTTCTTCTTAAATTACCTCATCGAGCTATGACTTAAAATAGTATGTATATTTTGATGACTCCACTTTTTATCTAAAATCTAAATAGTGACTCCAAATTTATCAGTCTGAAGCCTGCCTGACATTTTTCTTTTATCTCTTGTAGGCATCTTAACACTAATGTATCCTAAATCGAATTCTTGATAATCTCACTAAACTTACAATTTCTCTGTGCTTCTTCCCGTCTGTATTAGTGCACAGCACCAACTATCCTCCCAGCGATTCAATCTTAAAACCTAGAATTCATCTTTTCACTCACCCACTGCAATCAAACCATCTACAAGTTGTCAGTTCAACTCTTAAAAGGTATTTTGAATTCATCAATTTTTCTCCATCCCTACCGCTACGACTGCACTCCAAGCATTTCTTGCCTGAACTACAGCAATACGCATCTTTTTCTCTTCCCCTCCTCCAATTTATTCAAGACATCATTCAAGACATGCAACTTCTGTTTTGGAATTATGAGTTTTACAATCTAGAATCACCTTAGATTGTTTCAGAATCCTGAGATCCTATAATGCTAGACCTGAAAAAGATTTACAGATCATATAATCTACATCCGACATTAATAAGAATTGGTTATGCTAAGTCTAGGTCATTAAAAAAAAAACCCAAATCTAAGTAGACTAAAGCAGCAAAGCATTCTTTCATAATCAAACTATACAATCATCATGGGGTATCCGGGGGCTCTGCTTTGAGTCATCTACGTTGCAGGACTCATCCTAATGGAACAGCCACTGCCTGGAATCTTGCCAGTCTCAAGAATGACAGAAAGAAAGCTATAGCAAAAACACCTACTGTGTAGTTAAAATGTTTCCTAAAAGTGACATACATCACTTTCAATCCATTTCTTTGGCCCAGGCAAGTTGCTTGGCCATGTCTAAATCGAAAGGGTATAGGGCAGTGAAATACTCCCATGTGCCTAAGTGGAGAGCTAAAAATATGCAGTGAATAGCACTAATGACTAATTCTCCCCTATATTTTACAAATGAAGGAATTGAGACCTAGAGAGACTATGTGAATTGTAAGATCAGGAAGCTGATTTATGTCATAGTTAAGACTAAAACTGAGTCTTGAACTCATTGTCCAGCGCTTTTCCTAACAATGAACTGGGAATTGTCTGTTCCTTCTCCAAACAAAATACATTTAAATGTCTTAATATCAATATTGTATGTATTTATTTAAGTAATATAAACCTTCTGTATTGAAACATTTTTATACCTTTGCTAAAAATATGAAATTTAGAGGCCTTCCTGCTCTAGTCCCATTGATGCTCTAGCAAGATTCCCCAGTGTCAGAGCACTCAAAATCTCTCTGACCCGGCTGTTCTCATTTCTAGCAAAATTAAGTCATGTTTTATGCTAGGGATTCTAAACACACTGGCTTAAGAAATGTCAAGGAGATAAGCAAAAGAACTGTGAATCTGTAAACTAAGCACCCTCTGTTAAATCCACTAGAAATGTATTCAAAACAAGAACTCCAATTAACAATAGCTTACAGAGGGGAGATTTGTTTGACCCTTATGACAAGTCTAAAGGTGAATGGCTACTGATGTTGGTTCCATAGGTCAGTGGTGTAAGAGCCCATGATCTCTTGGTCTTTTCTCATGGACACAGGAGGGCTGTGACTGCTCCATGCATTACACCTGTGATCAGTCTAGAAGAAGGGGAAAGTTGAAGCCAGATGAGACAGCCCTTTTAATTGGAGAAGCAAAAACCTTCTCAGGATCAATAATTCACCCCTCATTCTATCAGACTATTATTCTCATTCCCTGATTGAATAGAAGGTTGTTTTGAGATAATTTATCTATCATTCTTAAATTTTACGTGGAAAATACTGTGAATAAAATAGATATTTACCACTGAACTCATAGTAGCTATGTTACATATCTTCATAATTGGTGAAATTAAAAAACACAGTCACGTGCTGAATAATGATGTTTCAGTCAATGGTGGACTACATACACAATGATGGTCTCATAATATTATAAGACCATACTTTTACTATACTTCTTATATTTAATTATATGTTTAAATATGTTTAGAGATACAAATACTTACCATTGCGTAAAAATTGCCCATGGTACTCAGTACAGTAACAGGTTTATAGCCCAGGAGCAATCAATAGGCAGTACCAAATAGCCTAGATGTGTAGTAGGCTACACCATCTAGGTTTGTGTAAATGCATTCCGTGATATTCAGAGAATGACAAAATTGCCTAATGAGGTTTTTCTCAGAATGTATTTGTTGTTAAACAATACAAAATTGTATAATGAAGTTACTACAATAAGTTCTGCTGTCATACTTGTTTTGAAAATACAAGTTTGTTCCAACAAGATTGACATGTTAAGGAAGTGTTTGAACATAATACAATTTTACATTTGTTTTTGTGTGATTTTGTCTATTTTAAACACTAGTTGAATGCAGAAAACTACCCAGATGACCTGAGCCACGTAAGAATACACAAAACACACACAGATACACCCCTCAAACTTTACCAGTGACCTCAGCCCACTGCCCGAGTTATGAGCCACACCCATTCACATATGGTGTAATAAATTTCCCTCTGATTTCAAATAATGCTTCTTCTGCCATTTCACAACCCATAAGCTGTGACCTTTCTGAGGCCCATTTCCACAAGCAAATGACATGTCTTTTTCAAGATAAAGGATTATATTTGCTGTAGTAATTATGCGTTTCTTAAACATTTATCTTGTGTAAATTCATGCTACCATTTTTACTAGGTCTTGATCTGATTTTTATGGTCCCTTGACAAAGTTTCTAAGTGCTATGTACTAAATCTCATGTTGCCCATTAAGTCCTGTAGTTTTAATTGCACATTTTTCAGTGATACTATATCTAAATAAATATCTGGCAGTTATCAGGCAAATATAAATAAGTATGTATATGCATATATACATTCATAATATATAATATTGAAACACAATTGAGGCATTTTAACATAAATTCAAAAAATTTCTTTTATATTTTAGAGTTAACTATGCCTTTAAAAGTATTTATTAAATGTACTTGGGAGGGTTTGTTCAAAAAAGACTATCAATTATAAAAGCCATTCAGTATGCCAAGCTATATATAGATGTCTCCATAGTGGGTGAAGATTTGTCATTTATCTTTTAAGATAATTATGAAAATTATATTCACCCCACATATCCTGAGCTGGGAAATTATTTTCACATCTTTTCCTTCATTTATAAATCTTTCCTAACAGGAGTTATGCAAGATTCAGACTGGTCAGTACAGAGCTGGATTTTGGTGGTCCCTTTAACAGTAGGAGAGAATCCAGTTTCCTACTTAGGGTCTGTCTTTTCTTTAACGAAGGCATACAAAGCACTCAGCACATTCCCAGAGCTTCTGAGAATTTCTCCCTTGAGAGATCTCAGGAAATATGAGGAAAAACAACTTCAAAAAAAAAAAATTAGTGAAAGGCCTGTTACTGTTCGCCTTTCTCTCCTTCAACCCCTGCCCTATTCTTTCTATTTTCTAGAAGTGTAGTGTCTTGTCAGTTTCAAACATTTTTCCACTTCTTAGATTCCCAAGGTGGGCTGCCCTTTTCTGGCACTACATCTATGAAAGGGACAGGGAAAAGATCTTACAGAAATTGAACGCTGACACGGGGCTTATTTTCCTAAGGACCAGAACGTAGAAGGACAGGGTGGGACTGTGGAAGGATTAATTTCAGACAAGGGCAGCCTGTGAAAAGAGAGAAATCTGAAAAGGTTCTAGGCCTCTATGGGCATTTCCCTCCACTTCTTTTTCCTGCTGCCAGATGACTCTCACATGCGAATCCTTATTTTCTTAGGAATGCGGATCAGGGTTTGGCAAGAACGTTTTTAGTAAATAATTGCTGAATGTTCAGCATTTAAAGGGAGAAGCATAACTTTGAGTGCACACAGTAATCACTGAAAATGATCCTGTACTCACTGTTGTGATGCAAATGCAAATTCTCATAGCCCCTGCACTGACTCTGTGGGTCACCTGTGAGTGACTCCAGCCAAAAGCCACGCATGAGCCCCAGTCTGCCTCCAGGCAGCAGACCACAACACAGTGTCCTGTGTCGTGCACCTGTACACACCCACGGGCACACATTACACCCATAAATGGTGGGTTATGCTAACGTGTACTTCCTTCCTCACGGCCTCACCTTGTTCACTTTCCTTTTTCCCCACCCCTCACCCCACACAATGGGATTTTTGTTTGCTTCAGTAGCATGTGACAGCACAGTCCCTGCTTTGCCTAGCTCTGTGCTGCGAGTCTCTCAGGTAACAGGTGGCAGCTTCCCCTGTTGGATTCTAGGTTTTAAAAAAATGACCTCATATGGGTGGAGCTCTGGGACTTCCTAGAGGTGGTGGCAGTCACAGCCAGATAACCCTGGAGTGAAGCAGTTTGGTTAGAAGGGGGCAGATAAACTTGTCACTCTAGTGGCTTTAACCCTCACCCTGAGGCACCTTAGCCACCAGCCATTGCCTGCCAGCCTCTAAAGCTTGTCTCTGCCTCATATGCAGTCCAAAGAAGCCACTGGGAAAGAAAGCATGGTCACCAAGAAAAAGAATCTGGCTTTCTTGAGGCCCAGACTCTATATGCTGGAGAGACGGAAGACTGACACTGTGGTTGAGAGCAGTGTTTCTGGGGACCACTCTGGCACCTTGAGGAGGAGCCAGTCTGACAGGACCGAATACAACCAGAAATTACAAGGTAACCAAAAAGAAATCAATTGTCCCATGTTACTGCACTCCCAGCTCCATTTCTGCTACAATTCCATTTGCAAAGAAACACATAAGGCAGAGGAGAAAATCGAATACCACCTCTGCTTCCCACCAAATAAGAAGATGAAAGTAAATGTGACCTGTAAATTATAGAAAACCTTTTTATTATGTAATTCAATAGTTAAAGAGTTAATTCTGAATTACTCTTAATATTGCTTTTTTTCCCCCCCCCCCTCTGGTGAGGGTAATCATTTTTCTTCTACTTTCTCCTTTTCTTCTCCCTTCTCCACCCAACTTAAGAAGTGGAAAACACTAGAAAGCGAATGATTAGGAAACCTACAAAAGATTGTTTATCTCGAAAGGTAGATGTGTGATATTACACCATGAGATCTACCTAGGTAATTGTACTGAACGGTTGATTGTGGTTATCTTAAATAGGGGCATGAAACTGTAATCGTGTCTATGAAAAAGAAGGAATGTTATAGTCAGAGAGATGGTATAACAAGATTTGCTGAAATTTGCTCAGGTGATCATTTCCTTTAAGTAAATTGAATAATACTCAAATACAGTAAGAAACGTTTAACATGCTTATTTTGAATGACATTTGAGGAAATAACTTCAGTTTATTTTGTGATGGTATCCTTCTTTTCTCTCCTCTGTTTCCCGAAGGTCATTTGACCTAGTAAAACTTCATTTCGATGTTGATATTGGGCAGCATTTTAAGGCTTCTCTGCAGTACCTGCTATGTGATCTTCCCGAACTTGCCTCTCCTGCTTTGAGCACAAGTCGTGTTTGAACTCTCATCCTCCCACTGTGAGCTGCCGTTTTGGATTTGAAAAACTATAATGAGATCAGAACGACCGATAGGACATGCTTATGTTTAGCAAATCTCTTTCCACAAATATGACCTTAGATTTAGTTATGCAAATCAATTAAGTTAAATTAAATAAATTTAAATTAAATATAAAAACCATTACTATAAGTTAATGTGTAAAAATTTTTTAAAAATTACTGGTAGTTCAGCACTAAAGCTGAACTTAGGCATTAATCTTATCCTCAAAATTTTTTTTTTAATGAGGGAGGGTGCTGTTTTGAAATTATTTTTTCTCAAAGCAATGAATACATTGGAAATAATGCATTCTTTTTAAAAATTTTAACTTTCACTTTATATTCAGGGGGTACGTGTGTGTTTGTTACATTGGTATGGTCTGCAATTTGGGGTACAAAGGATCTCATCACCCAGGTACTGAGCATAGTACCTATTAGGCAGTTTTTCAGCCCTTGCCTCTGTCCCGCTCTCCTCACTCCAGTCGTCCTCAGCATCTACTGCTGCCAATTTTATGTTCATGTATGTCTAGTGTTTAGCTCTTATTCGTAAGTAGAACATGCAGTATTTGGTTTTCTGTCCCAGCATTAATTTGCTTAGGATAATGGCCTCAGGTTGTATCCATGTTGCTACAAAGGACATGATTTTGTTCTTCCTTATGGCTGTGTAGTTATTCCATGGTGAGTACGTGCCATGAGAATTTAAAATCATACATATTTGGTTTCTAATCCTGGCTCTTCAACTTACTACCTATAAGAACTTGAGCAAATTATCTTAAATATCTGAGCCTCAATTTTCCTATCTGTGAAAGTGGGACTAATGACTTACCACATAGTGTTGTTGGGAGAATGAAATTAGATAATTACATAAAACAGCTGGTATACTGGCTGACACATTTTAGGAATAATGGGTACCGTAATGATAAAACAGAACTTACCCAATATTAATTGAAGTTTGTATATCTTATATCTCTTTTTCAGTTTTTTTTTTTTTTTTTTTTTTTTTTTTCCTTTAATAAAGAAACCACACCTAAAAATTCAGGAAAAGCCCATTGCCTTATCCCTACTTACATGTTTTCTTCTGTCTGAGTTTCTCTAATTCAGCATCTATCAGAGTCTCCTAGCAAAATAAAAATAGCAAATAATTTTTGCTACTCACAAATTTTTGCTTACTACATTTACCTAAAAAAGTAAGTCTATGACCACATTATATAGCAGCATGTGTTGATTACTTTGCAGAAGACCTCAGGCTTCTTATGCACTTCATTTGATTTGCTCCTAGAACGGTCTGTGCTTGAGAAAAATCACCAAGGAGTATAGAGGAGCACATATGCCATAAAGATAGGCTGGCCTCCTGATAAGTAAAGTTTTTAAAATGTAACCCTTAAAAAAAATCCAAGTCTGTTTATCGAATGCCTAATAGAGCTTTTAGCATGATTCGACTATAACAGCTTTGGCAACAACGGAAGGCATTTTCTCATTAATGTTCAAAGCAATCAGTTCTGTGGGTTTGCTCTCTGGCCTGTACAATACCCATTATCATGCAGATTAATCCTAAATCATCTTAAGAAGCTCTTTATTATTCAAATGCCAAGAGCTTTTCTTTTGCCTTCCTTGGAACTGGTAGTCCCTGGGAGGCACTGAATAAACACCTGGGCTGGTTAAAGCCCTCAGATAGATGGCCTAAAGCTCTTGTGAAGTCTAAGTGTGCTTTCAAATACTGGAATTTCTGATAACACCACATTTCTCAAATTATTTAGTTGCTTATTTAATTGGTTGTCCTTCAATGCTGTATTGCTAGAGAAAAATAATTCACTCCTCTAACTCTCTGGAGAATCAAGTTCTCTGGGTTCTGGAAAATATAAGATCTTTCTTTGGTGCTCTTGAGCTTGACTTTTAACTCATAATACATAGTCTATCTGTTCAATGCAATTCACTTTAGTAGTATGAATCTAAAGTTGTAATAATAATTTTTAAAATGGTACATGAGCTGAATTAAAGCAATAGAATATGGCTCTAATGAGGACATCCTAAAACCTTTGCAGAAGATTGTGATCACATCAACATAGTCATTCCTACTAAGCCTCAAGCTGAACAATAATAGAAAGGCTACCCTTAGGCTCTTTTACTCCTTAAACAGATGAATTCAGTTGACTGGCATCTATTGAATATGTTATACGTTGTTCTTTGAAATTAATTTTTCTCAGGCTCTTGATACATTGGAAAGAACGCAAATTGTAAAATCATACACATTTGGTAAATTGGCATTTATTGAATGTTTGATATACTGTGTCTTGAGGGTTACAAGGAAGAGCAAAAACAGAATATGTGCCAGAAATTACAACTACAAAATCATTAAGAAAACATGTCTGGGCCGGGCGCAGTGGCTTAAGCCTGTAATCCCAGCACTTTGGGAGGCCAAGGCAGGTGAATCACGAGGTCCAAAGATCGAGACCATCCTGGTCAACATGGTGAAACCCCGTTTCTACTAAAAATGCAAAAAATTAGCTGAGCATGGTGGCACGTGCCTGTAATCCCAGCTACTCAGGAGGCTGAGGCAGAAGAATTGCTTGAACCCAGGAGGTGGAGGTTGCAGTGAGCCGAGATCGCGCCATTGCACTCCAGCCTGGGTAACAAGAGTGAAACTCGGTCTCAAAAAAAAAAAAAAAAAAAGAAAGAAAACATGTCTGACCTTTACTCCAAAGAGGCTCAAAGTCTGGTTGGGAAAGATAAGACAGGTAAACAAATAAATGCGATAAAGTGGCACTATAGAAGTAGAGGTAGGATCAGAGGGTTCACAAGAGGAGGAAATTGTCTATTCAGGACTGTGTGAAGGAGGTGGTCAGAAAATGGTGTCTCTAAGAGATGATAAGGGTAGGGATGAGGGACGGTACAGGGAAAAGAAGGGCATTTTAACTTTTTCACTGTATTTAGCTCTGTCTGAATTTTTTTTGTTTCCTTGTTTATCATCTGTTATTGACTGTTGTTTCTCTCCCATTTCTCTGCCTCCCCTCCCATACACCATGAAAGAAACCCTATCTGTCCTGTTAACTGTTTCATCTCAGCAGCCCAGAATACAGTAAACACTCAGTAAGTGTTAAACAGAATGAATGACTTTAATGATCAGGCTCAAGCAGGAAATTGGTGTGAAGAAAAGCACCAAGGCCTGAAATAAGAACCATTGTATTTAAGTATCTAAATAAGGCCAGATGTATATAAGTATCTAAATAAGGACAGATGTTTCTATCAGAAAGATAATTTTTCAGTAAATGTAAGTATCTGAGATTAAAATGTACAGAATTTATTTAATAAGTAATTCTTTGTGGACGCCTGTTTCAGTCCCAAAATAACTTGAGGAATGTGGTGTTGCCAGAAATTCCAGGGAATGAAACAGGCTTTTAGAGCATACAACAACCATACTTCAAGTATGCCTCTTCTATTCGTAACAAGAACCATCTTACCTTCCACTAGATCAGTTCCTCATTTCCATTCTACTGGGAGCCATAGAAATTACCTAAATAGAGGAAATTTGATGGTTGAGTTGTAAAAACTGAGAATTTAATACTTATATATATGACCTCTACATTTGAAATATGCCTAATTTAAAAATTATACAGAAGTGTGTCTGTGCATATGCAGATATATATATATATATATATATATATATGTCTCTAAAGTCTATAGATACAGATATATGTGTATGTGTTCATGTGTGTACTTGAGACACGTTTTTGCAATGATTAGACTTTTTATTGAAAGTTACTGTAACATTTAAAGAACAAAAAGAATAAAAGTTTACTAACATTTAGGAGCTTTTTCTGAAAACCACATGTTAGAAGCAAATTTTTCAGCGCCACAAAAGAAATAGCACTTGAACATAAATTTTCTCAGCAAGGCTATTTTTATGTTTATAGAAGGATGCATCTCATGGATGAAGCAGAAAACACACTTGAACAAAGGAGGGGAAGGGGTTATTTTCCCTGATGCAGGTAGCCCCTATTGCTGTGTTGCTTCCCTATTGGCTAGGGTTGGACTGCACAGTCTAAGTTAATTCTGTTGGTTGATTTAAAGATATCAGGGGTGCCAGCCAGAGTGGTGCGGTGAACAGTTTCAGCAGAAAAGATGGTTATGGAACAGATAACTAAAGGTGACTCAAGTCAGAGC